TGAAAGCATTACTAAGTGAAAATTTAAATATGCTCATATGTAGCTTAAAGCTTGTTAAATAGAAGTAATGTTTGTATCATTAATTATAAAAGCAAAATCCATAGTTTAAGATACATGTATCTTACCTTGCTAACTTTCCACTTACATAGTTATTTTTTCTAGAAAATTTTTAATTTCATTGATATTTGTAAATAAATACTTCAATATAAAATCTAATTATATGCTGCATCTCCCCAAGGGCTTTGCAGTCTGAAGCCATTACTTCTGTGTGTTTAGACAGGTTATTTTTGAAACTTATTTCTGTTAAACTATATCTTTATGAAAAGTTGGAATTGTAATGGCACCAAACCTTAAAATCCTGAGCAGATACTACCTATATATTAATTAGATTCAATGGATGAACAAATGTAGTATTAAAAGACATGCTTCATTATTTTTTTTTGGGGGGGGGGGCTTCAAGGAATACTTTTTTTCAGTACATTGACTAGTGAAGGTTTTCTAAAAATTGTGTGGAATTCAAGCAAACAAAATATTGTAACGATTTTGACTGTGTATATATTTGAAATGTGTGTTTATCTACATTGAAATATGTTGTGGTTTTAATTTATTCCGACCGGAAGATTCATTCATTATTATTGTATGTTTATATTACATTTAAACATGTTGTACATCATTGATTTACCTTATTTTAAGTCATTCTGTCATTTCACATGTTTACTTTCATTTTCCATTACTTCCGGTCGCGGGAAATTATGTACAAGTCTTACCTAGAATGTGTCGTGATTTCGCGGTTTATAACGTCACGTTGGGTCGTGCTACGTCACTTAGGGTTAACGTTTAGTTTTAGAAGTGAGTTGGGATTTTGAGATTATAGTGGATAGACGTGGATTATTTTTAAGAGGTATTTTGAAGTGTCAGCCCTAGATTGTGGATTTATATGACCTATTTTGTAGTCACTACCAGACTAATTGTGAAATGTCCAGGTAATTTAATTGGAATTTGTGATAATTTATATAGAGAATAATACATACCCTTTTCCATATCACATCCTGTATCAGCCCGAGACACCAATATCAGCCAGAGGGCCGAAGGCCCGAGGGCTGATATTGGTCGAGGGCTGATACAGGATGTGATGTGGAAAAGGGTATGTTTTATTATATTTATTACATACTTAGTAATAAAATACAGTTGAGAAGAAAATAAGTAAATAATCATGCATGGACTTCTTACATACATGTACGATTTGGGTTTGTTTCTATTTCTATTTCAATGCACTTGATCCGTAATTTGAAAATATTCTATAGTATTACATGTATTTGTAAATTAAGATTAACCTTATTTTCAAAAAGTTAAAATTAAGAGAATATGAACCCACCAAAAATTGTGTACGAGTACAAGTACTGTTATTGTGGTTTAATTTACTAAGGGTGTGATATTGACGTCACAATAGCCGTATCAGCCCTGCAGGGCTGATATGGATTTGCAGGGCTGATACGGATATCAGCCCCGCAAATCCATATCAGCCCTGCAGGGTTGATACGGCTATTGTGACGTCAGCCATATCGCATATGCAAAAAACCTGTATTTATTACTAAGTGTGTAATAATTATTTATATTTAGGAAATTTCGTATTAGAAATTTACTTTAACTTTATCTGAAATTTGGGGAATCCTTTGAATCTAGCAAGTGACGTTGTGTGACCATATTTTGAAATATAAATTGTTGTTAATTTATTGACTATCATTATTAAATTTTGGAATAACAGAATATAATTTTAGAAAACTTTATTATCTTTGTGTTTATTTCTTTAGTAAAAAACCGCCATCAGGTTTATTCATATTTCGCTACCAGAAATTATAAGACCAGATATTAGCCGCGACCAGGCTTATAAATTACAAATACCAATTTGGTAATTAATAATTATTTTATCCTATCTTACGAACTCGTAACGGCGAAAACGTTACAATATCATGACAGACAGAATAAAAGATAAATACATGTACCAATCAGTCTTTGCTTGTCAGACAGAGCCATATACATGTATGTTTCTTATAATACTGCAGGCATGTTTACGAACCTATCTTAGGACTAAGAAATGTCTTAAATAAAGCATTCTTATATAAATTTAAGGAATATTTACCTTATTTACCATTTAATATTTACCCCAGTTCCAAACCAGGGTACATAGAGAAACAAACTTAGCATCAAAATTTGTCTTTCTGCCTATTGAACTACCAAACCAAATTTGATCTTAATTGGGCAACCATAAAAAAAGTTATAAGGAAAAAACAGAAAATTTGTGGACGGAAGAATGACAGACGGACAGATGGACAGACAGAGTGATTACTATAGGGCACCCGCAAATCCTTGCGGGGCCCTAATAAATACTTCAAAGTAATGATACCTTAGACTTATGTTTAAGAGGTCCAGCTATCTGTTCTTTGATAAAGGTCCTGTCCTGTTCTGTGACACCATATTTCTCAAATACAGAGTATAGATCATTACTCTCGACTAGATGATCAAACATCTTCACAGACAGGGCTTCATGCTACAATGACAAAGTTCAGAACGCTACGGGAAATGTGTAATACAAGTATGGAAGAAACGTTTTATTTCAAAACTCCCTATATGTTAAATATGTACTTTTTTAATAAATGAGGAATGTTAAATTTTAATAATCTCTAAAATTACCTTGATTTTCTTATCTGGTCTAGCCACTGGTAGGAACTTTCCATCAAACATATGGGAAAAAGGACCATGTCCTACAAAAGCAAAAAAAAATTATATAAAAATATCTTTGCCAAGAATATCAAAATTCCAATTATAATATAAATATTTACAAATAAAGGTCTGTAAAAATATCTGTTCAATTGTTTTCTTATTTTACATCATTTCCCTATTAACTGTCACTGATTAAGATGTAATTCAATTCATTCATGCTAGTTATACCAAGGTCATGACAGAGTCCTGCTATCTGGACACACAAGATGTCATTGTTTGAGATTCCGAGTTCTGGCTGTCGTTTTCTAAGGGTGGACCCCAGCTCTCCTGCCAGATAACAAACTCTGGAAAAAAAGATACATATTCTATTGTTGACCGCTATCTAATATTCTTACAATTGAATGCAGAGCTTGGGGAAGGCTAGTTTGTTTTGTTTGGGGTGACATATTTCCCATTTACATCTCACTGAATGCTTAAGCTCCATTCTACAATCAAGTAAGTGTTGGTGACAAACAGTGAAGTAAATTTCAAATTGCTTGTCTTGTGAAAATCTTTCTATACTCTCAATATTTGATTGGTTGTGGCCTTTAATTATTTGTATGCTTGGCAATGATATATGCCTTATAAGCATATCAGTTGTTTGTAATCAATAAACAAGATCAATTACTTACACTTATTTGATTGAAGATATACACTTTTAAAATTCTTGAACACTATAATTACTTAGGATGAGACAGCTCAAATAAACTGTGCCTGCTGCCTAATCCTATTTACTTTTGTGAATAAAATTTTGTTCAAATGAACCAATGCTCAGTAATTAGTATAAAAGTGAGAGAGTGATTAAGATCTTTATCATTTAGATTGATTTCAAACATACCCCAAAGAATGTTCAAATCTATTGTGAGACGCTCCAGGGTATACAAAATAACTTCCACCAAGTTGTCTAAGAAATCGCAGTCTCTGGAATTGTGGGGTGTCAATTATTTTCACACACAGAGGGTGGATCTCGATGTGGCCATGAATTGGGTCATTCACAATCTGGAAAGAAAAGTAAATACAATCTAGGCATTAGGATGTTCTTTCCCATCCTTTTCTCTGGGGAATCACAAACTCTAATCTACAGATAATTTACATTTACCGGTATCTCTATCACTGAACCTTTGATGTCTCTACATTTTAACCTGGATAACTATTCTCTTTACTTTGTAATTTTATAGTTTTCTCTCAGTAGTTACTTGTAAGTTATTTAAGTCTTCCTGTGATTTCTATAAGTGGTTACCTTGTAAGTATATACAGTGAAATCAACCTTGTTCATGGGGAACCAAAGTTCATAAGATTTTATCCACAAATTTACATCTCCACCAACAATTATTTTGTCTGACTCAATATATGTTTATTCATTGAATCATCTGAATATACAAGTACACATGAAATTATAATACATCCCCACAAACCCAAACAATTTTGCTTACCAACAAACACTTACCCCCAGGAATTACAATGTTACTTTCCATAGTACCGTATATACTCACCTATAAGTCCGTCCGCCTATAAGTCGGTTATATTTTTTAGGTTAATTTGCAGTGAGATTTGCCGTTAATTCGCTTTTAAGTAGGTACAACTTTTTGCCAGAATAAGATGACAATTTCTATTAAATTTTGATGGTTTAACCTGATTTCAATTAATATTTTTAGAAGTTGATATTTAAATTTAAAGCAATAAAAAATAAATAATGCCCTCGTAATATTAAAAAATTTTATCAAATTCATGTATATAAATACTTGTACTTTATGTTTAATCTTAGAATACATAAATGATGTAATACGTCAAGACTTTGTTCAATGATAACTGTTGAAAATGTTTATACATGTAGTCAGAAAAATACCAGTCTTTTTATGTTTCACTTATACGTCGGACATAGACTTTTGGACTAAAGTTTAACTCCCAAAAAACTGACTTATAGGCGAGCTAGTATAAACGGTAGTCTGCCCTCAGTACATAGTTACCTTATAAGTATAAAGTCTTCCAGTGATTTCTCTCAGAAGTTTAAGTGCTTCCAGTCTCCTTCCCAATGGGCTAAAAAATATTCAAAAAACATCTCTGCATAACTATATGATATATGGACATTAAACATTACAATGAAATATCAGAAACAGAGGCCTATGGGCCTTATAGGTCACCTAAGGCAAAGCAACATGTAACAATTTTCCAATAATTGAGTTTGGTTTGTGTTTTAAATCAGAGTCTATGACATTCAAATTTTTAAAAGAGGTACCATTGCTCTTCATATTTACACATTTAAGCAAGCTTAGTTTGGTTCCTTAATACCAATGGGCAGAGTAGGGGAATAAAAAAAATGTCATTTCATATAATCAGTAAAAATTTCAGCAATTATCAGTGGTGCTCCATCCCACAGGAACCCTGGGGCCACACATTTCAACATTTTGGACAGGCACCGGCACCCTTGCTCATCATAAATTCATTTTCAGTATACATGTATAATCAATGTTAACAAAATTTAATTTTAGCAATCTCAACACCCTCACTAAAAATACCAAAATTATATTCTTGCTAAAACTTCTGCCTATATAGCATGTACGGTAAATAGAGCAGTAAATCAAACGCACCTGATTCCTAGCCGTTCCAGTTGTTCTTCTGTTACCATGTCCAGAACCTCACTAGTCACACCCTCCCCTGAAATTACAGAAGTCATAACTAAATTTAAAAACTAACTCAGATTTCATCACCAAAAATATTTTTTATCATTATTCAGATGAAACCTTGAACTTGGGAGTTTGATTCAGATTATAATGCTTGGAATTTTGAAAATTGCAGTTTTCCAAAAAAAGAAGAAAGAGTTAGACAAGTTTCAGTTTTCAATAAAATTTTCAGACAGTAGGGTCTAATGAAATCCACATCAAAACATTAAAAA